ATCTATATGCTATTAGGTAAAAAAATAATTTTTTTCAAAGTCTCATATAAAATTGTATCACAGGCCATAATTTTATTCATATTGCTTTGATATATAGTTTTACTTGCTTTACTATTCAACCTCATTAATACATTTTTATATTCAAAATAATATTAAAGTGAATTCATAACCTTTATTTAAATTAAACCTAATAAACCTACCTTTAGAAAAATTTGATCCCATTGTGGCTTAAACTAGTTACTTAACAAAAACAAATTATGTTTACCTTATAAGATTTTCAAATTTATGAAAAGGAAATAATGAAATTAATTTCAAGAAAGACAGTTAACTACTCTTTTTTTATTTTCAATAACAGTTGTCTAAAAAGTCATTTTTAGTTTTAAATAGGACTTGCATTTACCATACCTCAGTAGTATTGATACAACAGAAATCTGTTTTAAGACTTTGAGGCCCACTTGTATAAGATACAATAAAAACCAGTAGGATTTTTTTGAAAAAGAAAAACTGAAGTTTCTTTTATCTATACCATTAGAATTGGTATCCTTTGTGGAGAGAGGGAAACTATGCAAAAAATAGGTTAAGAAACTGGCCAAACTAAACAGCTTTTAAAGAAAATATAACTCTCTGTTTAACAGAGCATTTGCAATATTGGATAATTATATATTTACAACTAAATAGTCACTCTAATATACTATGAGCTTTAGATATAATAACTTTTATCCAGAGGTTTCTCTGATTTTTGAGAATTATATTATAGATTACTAAAAAAATAATTTGAGTATTATAAGATCAACAGAGGTCCATTTTTAAGTCCTCTAATATTCATGTCATGAAAGTTATATTATTTTATCAGAAAAAAACTCAATATTCAATTAAATAACATTTTGTTCATCCATAGTTGCAACAACATCTTATAATCTATTAAGCATGCAATAAAATTACTTATTTTCATAATTTTTGGTTTCATTTATATATTAAAATCCAAATCAAATGTTTGCATCAAAATGTAATATGAATGACTGATATTCCTTTTGGATAGATTGATCCCATTTAAGTGGTCTTTTTCTAAAACTAATTATTTCCATATAATGAGTATTTACTGTATATGTTTCATATGTATTAGAAACACAAACACACATCAAACACAAAAGCATATCAAACCTGTGATTTCATGGATTTGATGGTTTAAGGCAAGGAAAAATGTATTTACGAAAAAAATGTGTCAACATGAAGAGCAGTATGGGAGAAACAGTATGGATAGTTTGTTCACATAGCAAAAATTGGGAACTAGAATGCTAAAAGTTTGGGAAATACTTCTTTAAGAATAAGTTTAAGTCCTGCCTCTTCCATGACGCCATTCCTGAACACACCAACCTCCTGAAAGTGATTTCAACTTTCTCTAAACTCCAGAGCTATACCATTTTTTGGCATCTCACTCCTCTGTGACATGATATTATCTTGGGATTTGCTTCTCGATTTATTCACTTCTCCAGAGTGAATGACTTGTTTTCCCAGTTAAACTGTGACATTTCTTAAGTCTGGTACCGTATCTTATATCCTTCATAGCATCTACCACACAGTAATTTTCTGCCTTAATATTATGCCAAAGAGTTCTCAAGGCCCAAATCCTTTTTGTTGCATAAAAGTGGTCTATAAGAAGTAGAAAGGGACAAAAGAGACATTTGTCTAAAATAATTATTGCTAGGCTTGTCGCAGTGGCTCACGCCT